AGACTCCGTCTCAAAAAAAAAAAAACAAAAACAAACAAACAAAAAAAACCCAGAGTAAATGGAAAAGAGTACACCCCTCGCCCCTTGCTTCCCTAGCACAGCACAGGATGAGCGGTGGGGTTACAGCAGGAGGCAAACGTCCACCCTTTCACCCCAGGCTCGGGCCCTTCCACAGGCCTGCAGCACGAGGCAAGCTCTCAGGACCTGGCAGCTGCTATTTTGGAGGCCAAAACTGCTGTCACCACAACTCATACCCAAAGAATGGCTGCAATAGCCGTGCTTTCTCAATCCGAATCCAGGAATGTTAAAAAAGAAGGCTGGGGCAGGGCCCGTTGACTCACACCTGTAATCCCAGCACTTTGGAGGCCGAGGTGGGCAGATCACGAGGTCAGGAGATCAAGACCATCCTGGCCAACATGGTGAAACCCCATCTCTACTAAAAATACAAAAATTAGCTGGGTGTGGTGGCGGGTGCCTGTAGTTCCAGCCACTTGGGAGGCTGAGGCAGCAGAATCGCTTGTACCTAGGAGGCGGAGGTTGCAATGAGCTGAGATCACACCACTGCACTCCAGCAACAGAGTCAGACACTAACTGAAAAAAAAAAAAAAAAGAAAAAAAAAAGAAGGCTGTCCTTGGAGACCTAAGACCAGTGTTGCTCTCGGATGGGCCAGAGTCGAGACTTAAAATATGTCTCAGTAATTTCTTTTTTGGATGGGGTATAGTATGGCTTTTAAGTGTTAGTTTTAAAAGTAGTGTTTAGAATGCACTGAGCAGTAAGTGGCTTAATCAATATCACTATCATGCAACATTGATCTATCAGTGCTGTTGGCACACAGAATTGTATTCTTCTTTTTTTTTTGAGATGGAGTCTCGCTCTGTCGCCCAGGCTGGAGTGCAATGGCACGATCTCAGCTCACTGCAACCTCCGTCTCCCGGGTTCAAGCGATTCTCCTGCCTCAGCCTCCCAAGGAGCTGCAATTACAGATGCCTGCCACCACACCCACCTAATTTTGGTATTTTTAGTAGAGCTGGGGTTTCACCATGTTGGCCAGGCTGGTCTTGAACTCCTGACCTCAGGTAAGGAGGTAAAGACCAGCCTCAGACTCCCAAAGTGCTGGGATTTCAGGTGTGAGCCACCACGCCTGGCCTGTACTCTTATTTCTTCAGTGGTGGTAAGTACCCCCAAGGAAAGCCATTATTTGGGATTCTGACACCAGCCTTCCTAGGGGTGAGCACGATTCATCTGCCTTGGCACAGCTGACTGCAGGGAGGAGCCAGGACCCCACCAGACTGGGGCTAAGCTTCAGAAGCTCCCAATGAACACATCTTAGGCCATGTGCATCTTTCTCTTTATTCATGAGTATAAAATGGGGCTCTGGTCTGGGGAATTTGTATTTATTACACATGTACACACAATATCTCAAGTTAAAAGTATTTCCAGCCAGGCGCAGTGGCTCACGCCTGTAATCCCAGCACTTTGTGAGGCCGAGGCGGGTGGATCACAAGGTCAGGAGATGGAGACCATCCTGGCTAACACGGTGAAATCTTGTCTTTACTGAAAATACAAAAACAAAATTAGCCAGGTGTGGTGGAGGGCACCTGTAGTCTCAGCTACTTGGGAGGCTGAGGCAGGAGAATGGTGTGAATCCAGGAGGTGGAGCTTGCAGTGAGCTGAGATCACGCCTGCACTGGCCAGAGGGCTCCTGGAAGAGGCTGGGAGAATTCCCAAGGCACCCCACCCAGATGCCTTCCCAGGAATCCTGGATCCCTGAGGAGGGAGATACAATCACTAAGAAATCTGTGACCAAACTGCTGCTGATCACAGAAAAGCGGTGATTTTCCCATTAATTCTGAAACAAGTCAAACGCGAGGGAGGGGACAAACTGAGCAAACAGCCTCAAATGAGGCTAAATGAGTCACCATGCCCAGCCTTTTCAATTAAATAGCTCCATTTTGTAAATTTCTGCTCAGCTTCAAGGAGGCCAGCCCAAGTGGACCACAGGACTAGCAGCCTTGACTCTCGCTGGGTCAAGATCCTTATCACATATAGCTACTACAGGGGAGGGTCAAAAACGTCCCAGGCCAGGCACAGCTCACGCCTGGATTCCCAGTACTTTGAGAAGCCAAGGGTTGGGGGATATCTTGAGCCCAGGAGTCTTGAGACCAGCCTGGGAAACACAGACCCCACTGTACAAAAATGAAATGAGCCGGGTGCAGTAGCGTATGCCTGTAGTCCCAGCTACCTGGGAGGCTGAGACGATCACTTGAGCCCAGGAGATTGAGTCTGCAGTGAGTTATGATCCCACCACGGCACTCCAGCCTGGGTGGCAGATAAAGACCCTGTCACAAAACAAAACGACCCACAGACCTCCCCTGCTCAGTGTGGTTAAACCAAGAATTCAAGTCAGGATTTCTTGGGTATTTTTTTTTTTTTTTTTTTAAGATGGAGTTTTGTTCTTGTTGCCCAGGTTTTTGGTGATAGGTCTCTCAGGCTGGAGTGCTGTGGCACGACCTCAGCTCACTGCAACCTCCACCTCAGCCTCCTGAGTAGCTGGGACCACAGGTGTGCATCACCACACTCAGGTCATTTTTGGTAGACATGGGGTTTCACCACGTTGCCTAGGCTGGTCTGGCATTCTTGAGCTCAAGCAATCCACCCGCCTCGGCCTCTCAGTGTTGGGATTACAGGTGTAAGCCACTGAGCCCGGCCCTTATTACCTTTTTTTTTTGAGACAGAATCTTGCTCTGTCACCCAGGCTGGAGTGCAGTGGCACGATCTTGGCTCACTGTAACCTCCACCTTCTGGGTTCAAGCGATTCTCCTGCTTCAGCCTCCCGAGTAGCTGGGATTACAGGTGCCCGCCACCATGCCTCGCTGTTTTTTATTTTTAGTATAGATGGGGTTTCACT